CTGCCTGGAAGCGCCGCCCGGGGACCTGAGCCGCTGCGGAGCACGTCGCCGGCCCGGAGCTCGCAGCCCCGAGTCCGGCCTGGGGCAGCGTGAGGCTCGGGTCTGGCCGGACACTGCCACAGCGGCCCTTCGCCCGGGCTGGGGCCGCCTTTGTGTGTGGACCCGGCGTCTGGGGGGCAGCTGGCCGCTCGGGCCTTCCCGAAATTCCCGTCCGGCTAAGGAAACACCTCCAAGTCCACCCACCATGTCCGCAGCAGCAGGCACCTGGCGCAGGCCGCTTCCCTGGCCAGGCCGGGCCCTGGCTCTGGAGATTAGAGTGCCCCTCTGGGGACAACCGTCCGGGGCCGGCCCTGAGGCGCCGGGTGGGAAGCTGGCGGCCCCAGAGCAGCCCTTGCTCCCGCAGGACGACCAGCTCCTGGACGACGGCAAGACCCTGGGCGAGTGCGGCTTCACCAGTCAGACGGCGCGGCCGCAGGCCCCGGCCACGGTGGGGCTGGCCTTCCGGGCAGGTGAGCGGGCGCAGGCGGGCGCAGGCGCAGAGCCTCTGGGGAGCAGCGCCGGCCGGTACCAGAGCCCCCCACCGAGCCACTGTTTCCCATTTAAACAAAAAAGCAAGGAGACCCTTGCCGAAGTCCAAGGCGCAGGTTTCCTGCCCCTGCCGGCGCTGCTGCTCCGTCCCCACTGTCCTTCCTGCTCCCAGGTCGCACTGCCGCCCGTTCGGGAGGCCAGACCCGGCCCAGCCCGCGCCACGCCCCTCACTTGTCCCCCTCCAACGCCTCGGGCCCCTCTGAGCCCGGGGGCAGACCCACGTCCAGTCCTGCCTGCCCTGGAGCCCGCCGCCCGGGACTAGAGGCCAGAGGGCTGGGGCAGCTGCCCGCCCAGCACTGCCCATGACTGCTGGGGCCTGTGGTGTCCCTGCAGCTCTCTGGCTTGCAGGAGTGAGAGAACATGAGGCTCTGGGGTGTGGCTGGCGGGGCTCCATGGGGGCAGCCCCCCAGCCCTCCCGAGTGGAGCTCTAGCCTTCAAGGGGGCAAGGCGAGGACAGTGCGCCCCTGGGCCCTACTGCTGAGGGGACCGTGAGCAGGGACCGTAGGGACCTCCACGCGGCGCCCCCAGCCCCCCACTGATGCTGGGGCCGGGCGGCAGCCTGCCGAGGGAGCCTCCCCCAGCCTGGACAGCAGCAGCTGGGCCCCAGTGTGGTAGGCCCTACGGCACGGCTGGGCGGGCCAGCACGGGGGTCCCCGACCCCCGCACAGCCTGGGGCTCAGTGCTGGCAGCCCTGGCGCGTCAGCGGCCCTCATGCAGGTGACTGCTGTGGGTGGGCCTCTTCCTGGGTGCTGGGCCCTGCCTAGCGTGCCCCCCCCCAGCCCAAGTGTCCAGGCCTGGCTTCCAGGCTGGCTGAGCTGCAGGGGCCAGTCTGCTGTCCTTCTGTCCTTGCCTCAGCCACATTGCCCACTGGGCGGCTCGGGATGGTGGGGCGTGCCTGACCCCCCGGTGGCCATCTCTTGCTGGGGCTGGGACAGCCAAGCCTGCCCCATGCATGGCTGCCCCGGAGGCTACTAGTGCCCTGTGTGGGGGGGAGAAGGGAGGTCCATGAGTAGGCTTCTTGGTGCACTGGCCCTGCTGGAGGCTGGGAAGCCAGTGACCACCCCCGCTGGAGGCAACCCACGGGGTCTCGGGGAGCTGGTTTGGAGGTGACGGGCTGGGCTTTAAGAGCTGATGTTGTGGAAGGGCAGGTGCTCCCTAGGGGCCACCAGCGTGGACTTGGGACCACAGCGGGGTGTGGCCCGGGGGAGTCGGCGGGGGGCCGGTCTGTCACAGGGACTGGCAGGCTTTGGCCAGGTGGTCGCTCCAGCTCTTGCCCTCCCTCACAGACGAAGCCTTTGAGGCCCTGCGGATTGAGCCCTTCTCCAGCCCACCCGAGCTGCCTGACGTGATGAAGCCACAAGACTCAGGGAGCAGCGCCAATGAGCAAGCTGTTCAGTGAGGCTCCCGGGCCCACCCTGGTGCCCCACCCCCCAATAAAAGAGATTTGGGTGTCTGCCTGGTTGCTGCCTCTTTGTCTGCACCCTCTTCTGACTGCAGGCCTCGCCCTCACTGGACAGGCCTGTTCCTGGGGAGGTGGCCCCCCTCGGCCTCTTGCTCACCGGGCTGGCCTGCTGGCCCCCTCACCCCCCCCGACCCACCGCAAGGCCATGGGCCGCAGGGCCAGCCTCCAGCCTGCTCCAGCCTGGAGCGCAGCTTTGTTCCTTCAAACTTCCCCTCCCAGCATGCTGAGCGCAAGCGCGAGCTGCAGCTAGAGCACTGGTGGGAGACCAATGGGGGGGAGGGTCCCGCAGCCTGGAACCATCCCTGCAGGGGCCAGGGAGGCCTGCAGTGACCCTGTGGGTAGTCAGAGGAGCCGCTTGTTCCTTCCACCCCCAATAAACAATCTACACACTCCACGCCTGCATTTCTCATTTTTATTTGACAGAAAAAGTCGCTTTGCTGTACAGATTTTAAAAAACCAAAATGCCTTTAAGAAAGTTGAAGAAAAGTTGGGGGGAGGGGGCCACAACCTCTCTGCCGGGCAGTGGGGCCCAACTAGTTTCCAACTCCTGCCCCTTCCTTCCAGGAGCCCCTCCCACAAGCTCCCTCTTTCCAACCATCACCCCTCCCAGGAACTTGGGGATAAAAGGGGTGCCATGCCCAGGCCCTTCCTGCCCAATTCAAGACCAGGGCATCCCAAACTATCCTCCCTCCCACAACTCCCATTCTCATTCCCACCCTCCCCCAGACCCCCCAAAACATGAACCAGGAAAAACTCACAGAGATTAACATTTCACAGGAACAAAGAAAAAAAAGGGGAGGGAGAGAAGCCTCCCTCCAAGATGCTCCCAGACTCAAAACGGGGCAACGAGGAGCCCCTCCCCACAGCTGTAGGAGAGAAAGGGGGCACTCCCGTGGCTCCAGAACCTGGGTGTGGTGGAAGCTGCCCCAATCAAGGAGACCTGCAACAGAAGACGACAGTCGGTGCCGAGGCCCGGGGGCCCCGGGCATGAATGAGGAGGCCCGGCTGCAGGTCAGGGCGCCGGCACCCACCTGGAGGAGCGGTGTCTCGCTGGCCGGGGGCTGGGGGTCTCCTTCCTCCGCTTGTGGCCTGGGGAGCGGCTGTCCGCTCGCTGGCCTCTTCGGGACGCCCGCTCACTGCTGCTGCAACAGAGGGCAAGCGTCAGACCACAGGACAGCACGGACACCCCGAGCCTCCAGGTGGCCGCTGGCTAGCGGGTGGCGCGCTACCCACCTCTGCTGCTGGTCCCGGGGCGAGGGCTGGGGCGAGGGCTGGCGGCGCTCTGCAGGTGAGTAGCTGAGGGACCGGGAGTCCCGGAGGGAGTCTATAGGCTTCCGCGGGCTGCGGGACCTGGCGGGCAGAGCGGGACCATAGAACCGCGCCTCCGGACCCGCCGGGAGCGCTCAGGACCACCCCCCGGTCCTGACCACCAAACCTCCTACCACACGGGGCCAACCTCAGACCCACCTTTGTCTGCTCACTCACCCATCCGCCCGCACACCATCCACCGAGCGCCCCAGTGGGCAGGGCACGGGGTGCAGCGGGGGACACAAAGATAAGGACAGTCCCTGCCCTCGGAGGGGGGCTCACTCGGCCCCGTGTGGGGGAAGCAGACTTGAGAGGAGGGGCGTATGTGGGTCTGGGGACCCAGGGCGGAGGGGCCGGGCGGGGCAGGGGCGGGGGGAGGGCAGTCTTCTCGAAGGTGCCGTTTGAGCGGAGTCTTGCAGAACGAGGAGTTCACCAGGCGGACAAGGGAATCCCGGCAGGAGGAACAGCATGTCCAAAGGCATGGCTCTCCTTAGACTGCAAGGCGCCGCGTGTGGCTGGAGCACAGGGCATGTGTGGGGGCGGGCAGGCGGAGACACAGGGCAGGCAAGGCCAGCTGGCGAGGAGCCTCACGCCATCCCCGCAGAGGTGGGGCTTTATCCTGCAGGCCACATGGCGTCCCGGAAGGATTTGTGGAGTGGAGGGAAGTAACCAGATGTGCGTTTTAGAAAGATCCCTCTGGCTACGTGTGGAAGAGAATGGCGTGGAGGCGGGGAGACAGGGAAGAGGCTGCGGACAGAGTCGGGAGAAGATGACGGTGGCCAGGCCAGAGCCCTGGCAGCAGCGGCGGGGAGGCAGCGCTAGAATCCCTGGGGCCGGGCCGGGCCGGGCCGGGCCGGGGCCGGGCTGCATGTCAGGACAGGGAGGGAGGGAGGAACCGAGGACTCCCCAGTGTCGGGGCTCAGCTCCTACTTGGCCGGTGCAGCCCACTGCCAGAACAGGGTGCACCGGAGGAGACGGGGAGAGGAGAGCCCAGCTCCTCCCGTAAAAGCAGACACCTCAGCTGTGTGAGACACCCCAGTAGAGCGCTCACACCCCAGGGTGAAACCCCACCCCTCCATCTCAAGCAAGGCAGCACTCACCTCCGCTCGCCAGTGGGTGGCTTCTTGGGGCTTGCAGGCTTGGGCAAGGCCTGAGGACCAGGCTTAGCAGGGGAAGGGGAAGAGGAAGTAGAAGAGGAGGAAGAGGAGGAGGAGGAAGAGGAAGAGGAGGAGGAGGAGGAGGAGGAAGAGGAGGAGGAGGAGGAGGAAGAGCTGGAGCTGGAGCTGGAGCTGGAGCTGCTGGAACGCCTCTTCCGCTTGGCTGGGGCCGGCTCCTGAGGACGGCCCTCTCGCACTGCCTCCTTAGGGGCTGGTGCGGGGCTGGGGACCCTGCGGGAGAAGGGCGGTGTCACGGAGACAGGCTGCGCAGCCCCAACCCCACCTTCCTTGGCCTGGAGGCTCGGCAGCGGGGAGGCGAGCCTGAAAGGCCCTGGCAGCTCTGAGCAGAGCCAGCGCACGTTCTCCGGAGAGCGGTGGCCCGAGCTGACCCGACCTCTGCTAACACAAGCAACAGGCTGGGGCCCACAGCACAAGGGATCAAGGTTAAACCTCAAGAATGTCCCTATAAGGCCCTTGGACACAGGCGTGGAAACCAAAGCTGGGTGGCCTCCTTCCTCGGAGCGCCAACCGGGGAGGCCCCTGTGAGGGCGGGTTGGCTGGGGGAGGGGCCGTCCTGCCTGGAGGCAGGAAGAGGGATGGGATGACCGCTGAAGATCCTTCCAGCCCAGGGAGTTCCTCTTGAGGTCTAACTGCCATCCCTCCTGCTGTAAAATTAAGTCCATTTCCTCTAGTTCTGTCCTCTGTAGAGATGGAAAACTTATCATTATCCTCTGGCGAATTAACCTTTGGTGACTTTTATCTGTCCCATTCCAGCCCCCAGAGCCCCCACCCCGGCATTCTCTTCTACCCCCAGCTTCATCGACAAGGTTCCCACGCCACCTCCAAGAGCCAAGAGCCCCTGGCTAAGGCTCCCCCCACCCGCCGCATCCAGCCCCAACCTTCCCGAAGCGCTTCCTAGTCAAGTCTCCTTACCTCTTCGCTGCTACCTCAGGCTGGGCAGGAAGGCTAGAGCCTTCTGAGTCGCTGGAACTGGAGCCAGAGGACGACGACGACGACGAGGATGACGACGAAGAGGAGGAGGAGGAGCTGGAGGACGACGACGAGGAAGAACTCCGCCGCTCCTTTCCTGGCTGCAGGGCGGCCAGTGCGGAAGGCTGCTGGGCCCCCGCGGAGGCAGGTGGCTCCCCGCCCTCAGGACCCGGGCCGGAGAGCATGCCATTGTGGTCCCCACCGGAGGATGCGGACTTTGCCACCATCCCGGAGGAGAGGGGCTGGGACCCTGCCACAGGGGTGGTCTGGCCAAGCAAAGATCGGGACTGGTCAGCAAAGGCCGATGGCACAGGGGACCTGGGCCGATCCTGCGCTGCAGGGAGCACAGACTGGGAGGGCCCCTGAACCATTTTAGAAGCAGGTGAGGGGGCTCGCTCGGAGGTCATTCTAGACTGGCCTGGGGCAGATGGCGGGGTTCTGGACCTAGCCCGGTCTAGGAGTGGTGGTGAGGTTCTGCCACTGACACGCTCGTAAGCGGGAAGGGGCACCCTCGGGCTGGTGAGGTTCGCTCCGGACAAGGCTGGAGCCATCCTAGCGCTGGTGAGGCTTGCAGGAGCCAAGGCTGGAGGATTTCTTGAGCTGGCGATATTCACAGGCGCTGCAGCGTGAGCAGACCTGGGACCTACCAGGTTTGCGGGGGCTGGAGCTTGGGGTGTTCTAGAACTGGAGGGGTAGTTTGCAGCACTTGGGGGTGTCCCAGAGCCCGAGAGATTCAACGCCGCCAAAGCAGCCGGGGTTCTGGCTCCTGCGAGGTTCACAGCTGGAGCTGGAGGGGTTCGAGGGTCAGCAAGGTTCACAGCCGAAGGTGCCACTGCAGTTCTGGGGCTGGCCAAGTTCATGGCCGCCGCCGCGGCTGGCGCTCTCGAGTCAGCCAGGTTCACTGCCGCCGGGATGGCCGGCGCCCGGGCGCTGCCGAGACTCATGGCTGCCGCGGAGGCCGCGGGAATCCTGCTGGCGAGGCTGGCGGCAGGGGCTGTTCTGAGACTCATGAGAGGCACTGGCGCTGGGACCTGGGACATCCTTGCAGCGAGGCTAGCAGCAGACATGGCCGGGGGCGGCCGAGCAGTGCCGAGACTGATAGCTGTCAGGGCGAGAGCGATTCTGGACTGAGCGTGGTTCTCTGGCACCGATGTTCTCGGATGGTCAGGAATTCGGGGCCCCGGGCCATCCATCATTGGGCCACCGGCTTGCTGGAGGACAGACATGGGTGTTCTGGAGCTGCCGAGCGGTTCAAGCATTCCGGGCGACCTGCAGCGGTCCAGAGGCGTCGGCGACATGCTGGGCCGACTGAAACAGCTCATCCTTGAGCTCCCGAGCGCTACCGGAGGCGTGCGAGAGCCGGAATGATTCCGAGTTGCCGGGGGAGTCGCGGAACGTGACCGGTCAGAACTACTGCCGGATGCAGAGCGCCTTCGGATGGCCGGAGGAGACCTCGTCAAAGACCTTTTGCCTCGAGTCGCCCGCGGCGTACGGGACCTGGAACGGCGGCGGATGGCAAGGGGCGAGCGACTTCGAGACCGCTTGCGTGTTAACAGCGGGGTTCGGGACCTAGACCTGCGCCTAATAGCTGGAGGTGTTCGAGACCTCGATCGGCGGCGGGTCACTGGGGAGGTGCGAGAGCGAGACCTCCTTCGAGTGACTGGGGATGTTCTGGATCGTGATCTCCTCCGAGTGACAGGCGAGGTTCTGCTCCGAGATCGCCTACGCGTCACCAGTGGCGTCCTGGATCTGGACCTTCTGCGAGTCACTGGTGGACTTCTGGAACGAGAGCGCCGGCGAGTGGGGGTTCTGGACCTCGAACGACGGCGGGTCACTGGCGGGGTTCTGGACCTCGAGCGCCTGCGACTCACTGGTGATGCCCTGGATCGAGACCGTCGTCGAGTCACCGATGTCCTAGATCTTGAGCGTCTTCTACTGACTGGTGAGGTTCGAGACCTGGACCGACGCCGGCTGACCAGAGGCGTTCTGGATCTGGACCGCCGGTGAGTGGCTGGAGAGGCCCTCGACCTGGAGCGTTTCCATGGAGCCGGTGATGTGCGCGAACGGGATCGCTTCCTACTGGTTAGGGGTGTCCGCGAGCGGCCTCTTCGGCGTCGAGAGGAGGTTCGGGAACTCTCCTGCCGAGCAGGAGATCTTGAGTGATAACCAGAACCTCCTCTCCGTCGACGAGTAACTCGAGACCTTGACCGGCTACGCTGTCTCCTCCGAGAGGTTGACTGAGACGATCCAGACCTGTCTCTACGTCGAGTTGTTCTGGTTTTCTCCCTCCTGGAGCGAGAACGGGACCTCTGGAGTCCACGAGGCTTCAGCGAAGGAGAACGGCCTCTCCGTGAAGTCGTCTTAGTGCGTGGAGATGAAGCTGAACGGCGTCGGCGTGAGGATCGCGATTTTTCAGCTGGCTCTGGGGAAGACACTGAAGGACTTCTTCGGCGTCTCGGGGGAGTTCGAGAGCGGGTCTCCGGTGATGAAGACACAGAGCGGCTCCGACGCGACAGTCTGGCCTTGCGAGTCAGCTCAGGAGATGAACGAGAGCTGCGCCGGCGAGGTGGAGTCCGAGACTTGGCTTTTGGCTCTGGAGACAATCTAGAACTTCTCCTAGCAGCTCTGGATTTGGGTGGGTGTTCTGGAGACGACTCAGAACTGCTGCTTCCTTCAGGTGAAGGGCCTCTACCTTTGCTTGATGAACCTGATCTGCTTCGCCTAGGAAGGGCTCGAGGAACAGGAACCTGAAGTTCAGGGGAGGACTCGGAGCCACTCGGAGCCCTGGGTGCCACTCTCGGCTTATCTTTAGCTTCAGGTGATGAGCCAGATGGGCTACATCGAGGAGAAGGTCGAGATTTGTCATCAACCTCTGGAGAGGATCCTGAGCGACTTCTCTGTCTAAGTGGCATGCGTGTCTTAGCCTTAGCATCTGGAGAAGAGTCCGATTCACTTCCTCCCTGAGGGGATGCACTGGGCTTCCCATCAAGTTCTTGAGACGATTCAGACTGACTTCTCTGCCCAAGAGAAGTCCTAGCCACAGTCTTCTGTTCAACGGATGACTCCGAGCCACTTCTCTCTCTCTGTGGCGTGAGACACTTGTTGTTGAGCTCTGGGGAGAATGGAGACTGACTCCTTGGCCTAGGAGTCTGAGGCAATGTTTTTGGCTCTGGAGAAGAATCACATTCACTTCTCCCCCTGGACGGTGTTCTAGGTGCATCTTTCACGCCAGGAGAGGACCCCGATAAACTGTGCCTTGAAGGAGTCCCAGACCCATCTCTAAGTCCTGGGGAAGACCCAGACCTACTTCTCCTTGATGGGGTTCTGGGTAAACCATCTTTCAGCTCAGGAGATGATGTGGGACTGCCTCTCTCCCTTGAAGGTGTCCTGGGTGCAGCATCAAGCACAGGAGAAGAGACACTCTGAGCTGAAGACATTCCCGCCTTTTCCATCGCTTCTGGGGACAACTCAGAACTGCTACGTCTAGAAGACTTCGTTGATTGTTCTTTCACACCTAGAGGTGGGTCTGTCTCCAGCTGATTAGGAGGCCCGTTCGAATCCTTAACCTCAGAAAAAAACCCAGTGTTCATCTCTGCAACAGGGCCAGAGTTTCTAAACTGTAGAGATGATGCACAGCTCTTCTCCCTGGCAGGGGAATTAGACAGTTCTTTACGATCGGGAGACAAATGTTGTCCACTCCAAGTTGAGGCCACTGCAGGGACTTCTGCTTCCAAAGAAGCCTGTGGCTGGCTTTGGTCAAGAGTCAAAGACACAGCAGATTGTTCTTCAATTTCAGAAGATGACTCCAAGTTACTTCCAGTCATTTCTTTTTGCCCTGGGGATAAACGGGGCAGGACCTGACTTGAGAGCTCTTCGGATTTCTCTACCAACTCCATTAATTCCTCCTCTTGGCTTGTTTTAGCTGATAATACATTTTGGTCTTTTGTATCTGGAGCTGACCCAACGCCTCCTCTTTCCCTTGATGGTGTTCTAGGCGTGTCTTTGAGTACTGGTGCGAACTCAGATGTTTCCTGCACCAGAGGACTCAACTTGTCTCTTGGCCTAGGAGATGACACATCCTCCCGAGGGAGCAAGCTCACTGTTCTCTCTTTTGATTCAGGAGAGGGCTCAGCTTTACTTTGCCCTACAAAAGACTTGGAGTCCATTGCAGGATACAGAGAAGAGTCAGACTGAGACCTGCTCTGCTCTGGAGACATTTCAGCTTTTAGCCTAGGACTCGGTGACAATTCATTGCCAGCCTGTCTTCTCGGAGAGCTGCGTGCCAGTTCAGCGATGGGAGAGGACGACCTTGACTGGCCACCTTTCGACAGCTGAGATTTATTTTGCAGTGGAGATTCGGAATGGCTCTGTCTTCTTTCTGGACTTGACGAATCAGATCCAGAGTCTGGTGAAGTCTGAGCTTGTCCTGTCTGTTGCAGAGATGAAGAAGCAGGAGCGCCCTCTCCTGGTGGCATACTAGGTTTTACTCCTGCACAGAGGGAGGAGGAGCCAGAGCCAGTTTGTGCTGGCAACTCTTTAGATTTCTCCTGGGAACATGGCGATTTTGATGCAGAAATACCCTGCACAGGTGGAGTCTGGGGCTTTACTTTGGGGCATGGCGAAGTAGACCCTGAGTGACTCTGTCTTGATGGTGTTTCGGATTTCACTTTGGCATCTGGTGAGGAGGATCGAGAACGGATGTGATGCTGCGACAAACTAGAGTCAACCTCGCAGCAGGGAGATTCAGACCTGCTTGGCCTCGGTGGTGTTTTAGCGGCGATCCTGCTAGGGCTTGGAGAGGAGGAGCCAGAACGGCTCCGGACTGGAGACATTCCAGTCTTTGTCTTGGGTTGTGGAGACGATGAGCCAGACCGGCTGCGGACTGGAGGTGTGCTAGCTTTCACTCTAGGAGGAGAGGACCCGGGGCAGCTATGTCTTGAAGGGGCCCTAGACTTCACTTCAGGGTCAGGAGACGATTCGGACCGGCTCTGTCTCTGTGGTGTTTCAGATGGTTCGTTCGCCTGGGGACTTGTTACAGACCCTTGCCTGGGCGGCGTTCCAGATTTCAGCTTAGGTGGAGGAGATGGGCTGGAACCATCCTGCCTCGGTGGGGTTTTAGATTTCTGACTAGGAGGCAAAGACCCAGAGCGGCTTCGCCTGGGTGGTGTTGTAGACTTAGCTTTAGGCTGGGATGACCCAGAGCGACTGTGCCTGGAGGGTGTTTGAGATTTTTTAGGACATGGAGAGGACCCTGAAAGGCTGCGTCTCAAAGACATGCGAGATTTTGCTTTAGACCGTGGTGAAGAGAGAGATCTACTTCTCCGTGAAGAAACTCGTGATTTTTTCATTTCTGGACTTGAGTTGGACCTGCTTCTCTGTGACACTCTGGATTTGTTCTTTCTGTCTGGTGATGAGCATGACCTGCCTCTTCTTTGGGGTGTTCTAGAGTGAGATCTTCCACGTCTAACTAAGCTTCTACTACGTGATCTTCCTCGCCTGGCTGGGGTCCTAGAGCGCGACCGGCCACTTCTCCGGGCTGGGGTCCTAGAGCGCGACCGGCC